CCAAAAAAAAAGCCAGTAATTATCCTGCTGGCGTTGAGGTTAAAACAGTGGTCTTCTGTCTCTCTTTTAAATCACTACCATCCCATTTTCTGGGGGTTTTAAGTATAAGAGTGTAACTACGTTATTGACAAATTTTTTTTGTATTTTAATTTTCAGTAATTAAAACATGAAATTTATAAATTTTTATTTTTTATTCTTTTGTTCTGTTTTATTATTCTAATAATTATAAGTTATAAACAATAAAATCTACAACTGACAATAACTTTCATGCATTATTTTTATCACTTAAAAAACAAAAACGTTTTAAAGATATTTTCAAAACGTTTCGGATACAACATAAAAAATAATACAAATTTTGAGAATTTACTTGCAAAAGATTTCGAAACATTGGTCGAAAACTATTGAAGTATCTCAAAGTATTAAAATTTTGATTTCTCTACTGTTTTGTTTTGATCCTCTTAAAAAACATAAATATTTCGGTATTTTTAACCGTTTTTAAATAAAATTTTGATAGAGAGAGATNAGTACTGTCTTCTGATGATAATTATAACAAACATAGTATAGTGATCAATCTAAGAGGGCAAATTTCCCCCAGAATAAACTAGATGACTAAATTTTGTAAAACATTGCTTCTAGAAAAGATGATATGATTCTTCGAAATGGATTCGCTAAAAAGGTAAATGCACATAATATCTNACAAAGTAAAGATAAGTTCAAATGATTTGGCAATGTCGTGTGTGTGTGTGTGTTTGTAACAAATACAAATCATTGTGATGATAAGTCCTGAGGACTGGTTTGGCTTTTGGTACTTGCTCTTTGATTCCTTGTCACTCTTCTAACCAAGTGAAATCATCCAATTATGTGATCTTTCTTGTTTGATTTTTTTTTTTTTTTTGGGGCAAAATTATAAAGAACGATACAAAAAAAGGATAAAGTTAAAACTCGTAACCAACCGAAAACAAGAGTAAATTCTTTTCATTGAGTCACTTCTTGTTCTCTTCATCCAATAATATGAGACACTTATTCTAGATCTTATCATTATTTAGTATGTTACTTTGTGCGAATTTTCGTATTATAAATGCGATTAGTATACGTTCGCTGGAACATAATACAAGTTCGCTCGCGATGTCACATCGCGTACGAGTGTGTAATTAATCCGAACAATTCTGATCTTGTAATAGGTATCCATTTAAAAGAAAAGTATGAGTGAGAAAATTATTGCCAATATCCTACCTGGTTCTTCTAGATGGATAGCTACATTCTTATTTTTTGCGTATTTTTTAGACCATTACAATGCTAGGTAGCTCAAGTTCATCAAAGAGTGTTGAAAAAAGAGATCCAACTACAAGAGTTTGGTTTGAAATTAATGCACAAATCCAAGGCTAGGGAGACTTTCCAGAAGGTCTTCCAAGGTAGACATTGCTATCGTGGTACTGATCATGTCAAATACAAGTAGGGTCCAAACTGTCATCGTCACTAGAGCTGACTACAGTTTTGAATGGTAGTTTCTGTATTATTTTCATCTTGACAGTGGAAGAACTACTCCTCCTAGATAAACAACTTGAGGTACATGTGCTTAATTCTTGCCGTCAACCGACTTAAAATGGTGTATATAGCATAGAATGTCCTTAGTTATTAGGGTTAATTGTAAATTACATCTTGAAATATCGTTTAAATTTTAATTTGTATTCTCAAATATCAAAAATTTTAATTTACACATTTAAAGATTAAAAATCTTAATTTGTATCTTCAAAAATAAAAATTTGTATCAATGTGTACCTGAAATTAACTGCAGCCAATTTATCGTCTAAAATTAAATGGATAAATTATACCTAGATTCTCTTATGCTAATACTTAATCATTTGGACCCCCCTCATGTTTAGAATATTACTCCTGATGTTTGTGCACGTGTAATACATAACTGCATGTCGTTGATATCTATTAATATAACCATTAAAAAATATGATTTCATTCTAATAAAAAATTATAATTTCATAGTATCATTTATTTTTATGGGCCCGTTATACTCTAAAGTTCAAAATAAAACTTACCATTTGAATGTCGAATATAATGCAGATATTTATATAGTGTTCTTTATATCCAATACAATACATCACTTAAACAGAATTATTTACATGTCCAATTTGAAAAACATTTTTAGTCATATTTAAATTTTTAAGGGATATAGATGTAATATTTCAAATGTGAGGGGTTTGGGTGATTAAGTAACAAATATGAGGGGATCTAGGTATAATTTATTCATTTAGTTTAGACGGCAAGCTAACTACTCTTTGCTTGAAGTGCAGATTAATATAAATTTTTATCTTTGAGGATACAAATTAAGATTTTTTATCTTTGACGGTACAAAATAAGATTCGAACAATCTTTTAAAGTGCAATTTGAGATTAACCCTAGTTACTAATAGAACGAGTATAAAAAGAGTAGACTTAATAGTTTGCTAATAACAAATTAAAAGAGTAATACTACACAAAAAAGTTGCAACCCAAATATTTATTATCCCTTGGATATTGATGAGATCTACTCATCTAACACACATTCAAAAGATAATATGCATTTTAAGTTGTATTTTTTAAGTTTTATTTGAGTTGTATAGCATTTTTTAAATTAAAATAGGAGTAAAAATAAATATTTTTGAGGTGACCCAAAGTATTATTTGGACTTAATTTGAAGACTTAAATTGGGACTTAATTAATTGCAATTGACGAATAAAAAGTAAACTCACAACTAATTCAATAAATACATTAAACAAGGTTCTTGATTAGGTTCCTAAATCATGTCCGCATTCTTTGTAATATAAACAACAGCTTGATAACACTTTCAGGTTAATAAGTAGGGTTCTATTCATTGCTCTGATCCACAATACCATCAGATCGAGGCAAAAAGGGTTTAAGATGGACACCATTTGAAAAATGAGGAAGAAGGACAGACAGACAAGAAGCTAGTTGTATGTTCAAAACAATATCTGCCTGTGTTCTACAATGGGAAAGCTCAATACACATAATTCAATCACCACAAACATCCTGCAAGTACAATCTGAGTCGAGAAGTCCTTGCTCCGGTTTTTTTTTTGGGGGAGGGAAAAAGGGGTTTGAACCTTTGACCTCAAGAAGGCAAAGCCTTCGCAAGGTAAGGAGTACTATTAAACCAAAAGACCGTTGGTACACTGATTGGTAAATGGCTGATACGAAAGAAAATTTTCATGTGAATTTGCTTGCAAATGAACACGTTACACATTGGAATCACCTCTGATTGCCAGAAGGTGGATAGCCTGGCGGAGGATAACCGGCAGGTGGATAACCTTGAGCCTGAGGAGGAGGTGGATAACCATAGGGTTGCCCATATGCTGGTTGAGGATATCCAACTGTGGGTGGGTAAGGCTGATCAAGGCGTGACATCTGCTGGACTGGGGGCACTGCCATTACTTGCGGACCAAACATACCATCTCTTTTGTCCATTTCAACCTTGTGTTGTGTCTGCAGCATTCAAAAGCAATTGGCCAAGGAACAGTGTGAGCAGAAAGAATCATGCCATAAACGACATTGGTATATAGAGTTTTACACCAATGAAGCGTGGAAAAAAACTAACACCACAGAGGCTCGAATATTAAGGTAATCAATTTGTGCAATAATGTAAACTGCTAGGACTATATCCAGTCCACCACTCAAAGCACCCTCAATTTTTATTTATTTTTTCTAAGCTATCTCAATTAACAGGTGCCAAACTGGGTAATTATCCTTTTGTATAGAGTTCAACAATGAATAATGTCGCTCCTTGTACTTCGTAATTCATTTTTTTGACAAAAAAGCGATTATTATTTGGCTTCAGTTTTAGAAAGGTGTAAGCACATCATCCATTGAGGAAATTTCTGCACATAATAGGTTTAAATGGATTTTTCAAGTGAACAACATATAGCTCAACTTTGGAGTTTCAGATGTTTATCTCACATACCTGCATACATGCACAAACCCTGCAAAACAAAATAGTACAATTATATTAGTCGGATACTGTCTAAATACTCCATCTGAGCATGCTCAGTGAAAAGTATCAAGTATGGAAAAGAAGTCATACGTGCAGTAAACCATATCAGCCAAACAAGACAGTAATTGAGAAGCCTCCTGAAGTTCCCCACTTCCAACAATCATTGCGACAATGGAAAATATGCATGCAATTTGTTGAAGGCAGAACATGAAACCCTGTATCAAGAAGGAACATGTTTAACCAAATGCAAATAAGTCGCAAACAACATAATTGATAGAGAGAGAGAGAGAGAGAGAGAGAGAGAGAGAGAGAGAGAGAGAGAGAGAGAGAGAGAGTACAATAATGCAATTATCACATTGTGTCGTCTGTATGTTGAACTCATCTTGCAACAGAAACCGGGTTGACGCTACTGAATTTCCAAAGCACAAGAAAACCTGCATATTTGAATTTTGGGCAAGATTANGCAAAGCACTTCCATTCCATATTGTTCACGTGTCCATTTCAAAAAAGTACTCCAACCATTATAGACGCTACTGACATACCTAAAAAGTGATGAAATCATGAAATTTTCGTCTTCCAATTCCAGGTTCTCCCTCTAATACAAGATTCAGTCCAGCCTTTGTCTCTATTTCTCCCTTCTCTTCGTCCTCTTCTTCTCTCTATCTCTCACACTCGAACACAAAAAACCGGAGATAATTAAAGCAGCATACACATAACTGCCCCACCAAGACATNAACTAAAAAAGGCATGACGGAAGATCCCACTTGGTGAGATATTAATTGAACAATTAAATGGTTAGAATCCTCGTGATGGCTTAAAACCACGGAATATTCTAATATTGTATTATTAGTTTTATGAGTAATTCTATGTTGATTAAATTTTTGGATTAAATTAAGAACTCAAATGACATGACAGTATATTATTAGGAGTTTTTATTAGGACCTAAATGACATGATACTAAATAAAAATGTCGATATTAACTGTCATATTATTTGAACTTCTAATTTAATTTTAAAATTTAGTCAAANTAACTGTCATAGAACTTTTAATTTAATTTTAAAATTTGGTCAATATACCATTATTATAATTTTATCTATTGGTCCTTATTAAAACCCCAAAGTAAAATCAACCCTTTTAGCGTTTCCCTCTATATATTCCCTGTATGCAACCACCTCCCAAGGACCTCAATCAAAATCAATTCTCTCTCTCTCTCTCTCTCTCTCTCTCTCTCTCTCTTNATTTTTTTTTTTTTTTAAATTTGTGGAAGTAATTGATTGGGGTCTCTGCAATTGGAGTGGGGTAGAAAGATGAGAGAGGAAGCGGTGGAGAGAAATATGGTGGTATTGTGGATGACTGAGGATTTGATAGGGAGAGGGATTAGAATGTGTGTGCATGTGTGTGGTGTGCTTGCAAGGGTGGTGTGTGTGAATGTATGCAGTGCACCTGCACGGGTGATGGACGTGGTGGCGATGGAGAGGTAGAGGGGGAAGCAGATTTTGGTCTTTGTGTGGATGGTCCAGCAAATGACAAACTATGCTTCTCAGGTGAATAAATAACATATGCATAAAATTAGGAAAGATGGTAACTGCAATTTAAATGACTTATGTAACATACCTCAGTGGCAAGGCAAAATTCAGGACAACGACTTTCTCCACATCGACCACTGCAAGGCATGTAACCGGCGCAGCAAACATACCTAGACAAACAACATAAAACACATTTATACCAGAATGTCAGACCATGTAAGAGTATGATGAAAGGAGCGATCATCTATTAACTTGGCGTATCATTAATAATTAAACATTACCTCGACATATCATTATAAAGAGCTCGTTTCCGAAGCAAATATGATACACATGGTCCACTGTGACATAAAAAAATATTTTACTATTTAGTTGTNGTCAGACCATGTAAGAGTATGATGAAAGGAGCGATCATCTATTAACTTGGCGTATCACTAATAATTAAACATTACCTCGACATATCATTATAAAGAGCTCGTTTCCGAAGCAAATATGATACACATGGTCCACTGTGACATTAAAAAATATTTTACTATTTAGTTGGACTGAAGTGTTGGTAGAAAATGGTAATCAATAATTAGATAGTTGAAGAATAAAACTATCAAAAACGTTAACCAATACTGGAATGCATCTGTAAATTTGTTTCACATATGCTTACACATTTATATGTCACTGATGTTTATAAGCATCAATTGCCTAACAACATCCCAAACATGAATAGATTTCTTAGGAGGCATATATGAGTTGCTTATGGCTGTCAAGCAATAGAAAATGCAGATAATGCGATAGTTTTAAAAAACAAGTTTAGGAGATGCCATTCACGGATTTTCTTNATATGCTTACACATTTATATGTCACTGATGTTTATAAGCATCAATTGCCTAACAACATCCCAAACATGAATAGATTTCTTAGGAGGCATATATGAGTTGCTTATGGCTGTCAAGCAATAGAAAATGCAGATAATGCCATAGTTTTAAAAAACAAGTTTAGGAGATGCCATTCACGGATTTTCTGCATTTTGATTAGAACAATGAACACAATCAACAGTATTGTACGCTTACATTGATGCCCTAAACTGGTCCTTACAGGTGACAAGCTGATGCAGTAGAATTCACTCAACAAAACCGCCAGTGCTAAAAATTTTACAGAAACAATTTCCCCATATGATTCTTGCTAAAATGTCTTAACATACACTATTTCAAGTGCAATCGATCTTCCTTGATCAGCAGATCTAACAAAACATAAAGAAAAACTAACTATACAAGAAATATAGTCAACAAAATTCAAAATGTAGAACTACATATTAACTGGATTTTATTAGATAAAAGTCAACTTTGATAATTGAAACATGTAAATTAATGATATCATCAGCTAATTCATTCATCGGTCAATTTCATCATGCAACACTAGTGATAAAAATATTAACGGATCAACCATAACTGAAGCAAGAGTATCAAATTACTATAAGTTAACCATTCTAACAGCAAGTCCANCCATCCATATCTTGCATGCATTGTATTTGTTTCTCCATTGGTTGATGCACCAAGAGATCAGTCCAATTCCTTTGGGTCCCTGGAATCTATGAAATGGAAGAGGGACAAGAACCTTTGTGGATGAAATCGTTTGGGGTCTGTCCAATTGGAGGCGGAAGAGAGATGAGAGGAAGCAGTGGAGAGGAAGCAGTGGAGATATATAGGGTGTTGTGGATNCTAAATCACAATCCAAAAAACAAGGTTTTCGGTTCTCACTATTGTGGAGTATGAAAAGCATAACACAATTTGATCGTCACATATGAAAACGTTGTACCACTAGGCACCCGCTTTCTAGGCAAAGTAATATATTTTATTAACTCTAATAGTGGTTCAAGTGATAACAAAAATGAGTTATAAATTCATACGTCATGAGTTCGAATCTTGACAATTTTTTTGGGTCAAGTCATGAGAAATTTATCCCTCATGAAAAATACCCTAATTCTGATTTGGATGACTTATATTTGACTGGACCGGAGAGGGGATTTATGAATAAACTAGTCTAAACATCTCTAACCATTGAACAAAAAAAAAAATTTTGGTTAAGAAAAACAAGCTTTTTCACTTGTTCTATCATTAAGACGGAACAACTTTAAAGAAGAAATATGTGGTCATTTGCATCTTGAATCTTTTCATCGTCCTCTGTCCCAAAAAGGTTGTAGCTATTCTTTAATGGGTGCTAAGTTGTGTCTAGTTGCGTTTAGATTACAAAACAATGTGCTTTTGTGAAAGCTCGTAGTAGTTGGAGCAAGGCAAGGCCAGATACTCCTCATTGTCTCATTCATCTAGCATCTGTNCGATGTCTCTGCTCAATACCTCAAAAATGCAAGAGAAATCCTAACAATCAATACAAGACCCTAGCTTTCCGATAAAGACGAAGAGGAAGACGAAGCCTCTCTCTTTGTCGACAAAGTCAAGAGTCTTATACTTCACGACATTACAGTCAATCAAAATGAGGGCTTTTCCGCATTCCTTTGGGGAAGTCAACCAGCAGGGCCACATTCTTGTTGGCAAATAAAGAATATCAAGATAATATTGGGGGGAATATGTAAATAGTGTAAAGAGTATGGGTTTAAATTGCAAAATTTCCTTCTTTTTATACCATTAGAGCAGGAGTCTCCCGCTTCTGTGTTGTGTCGGCTTTGAGGAGAGGCCCAATTCTGATTTGCCTCTTCTTCGGGGAGAGAGTGCTTGTTGAGTGCGTTTGTTTGTCTCTGAGAGAGAGAGATGAATTTCTTGTCATCTTCCTCAGTTTAAGTATTTTGATTAAACAAAACGAGACTCATTTGTCCTCACTTGGTGTTTTTGTCTCTTTCGTCAGCAACTTGTATCCAAATTGTTAGCTTATACATTTGTAAAAACACACAAGCAAAACAATAAAGGAAACAGAGCTTTCTTCTACTTGTTTTGCTTCTTAGTTTCATTTCTCAGTGATTGTTTCAATGTCTTCTGATCTCTTTCTGCTTGAAAACTCTTTCTTCTCTGATCCATTCCCTCCTTTCATCGACTCCCCCATTGATCATGACATCTTCCCAGCAATTTCGGACATCTATGACAACTCGACCCAGCAAAACCCAGTTGAAGAAACCAATTCTCTTTACCAAATTGCCTCTACCCTCCTTTCTTCTTCACCACCAAGTCACCAACTTGAAAATCTCTCTCTCTGCCAAACAACCCATTTGGCAAATACTACTTCAGGTTTGGCAAATGGGTATTCAGATTTCTCTGGTTTGGAGATCAAAACAGAGGAATGTCAAGTTCCTATTGAGTCTCTCTATGGTTATGGTAACTCTTTTTTGCCTCATAGTTATGATGGTAGTGATGAAAGTGCGATGAAGTTGATGCAGAGGAGCTATAGTAGCAACTCTTTCGATGGTAAACCCAGTTTCTTGTTCCAACCTCGCTTTGATAGTCTCTTGGAGTCTCCAAATTTTCAGACCCAAGTCTTCAGTTCACCTGAAAATAGCTTCACTACTGGTCAAATGAGAAGGGTTTGCAGCACTGGAGATTTACAAGTTAGTTTATTATCTAAATTTAGCTTCCTTCTCTCTCTCTCTCTCTGTGTTTTATGATTTGATCATATTTGATTGAAACTATGTATTGTTTTTCTTCTACAGAAGATCAAAACAGCACAGACAAGCCACATGTTGTCTTCAAGCCCATTAGCTACAGAGAGGTCATTCATGGAGGAAGCAAACTTCAAAGTGGGACGCTACAGTGCAGAAGAGAGGAAGGAGAAGATTCATAGGTACAGAGCAAAGCGTAATCAGAGAAACTTTAACAAGACAATTAAGGTAACATTCTCAATTACCCCAATTAATTTACACCTTCCAACTCTTTTTATTTTTGAAGAATTAAACTATATAAACGATTCAGCTGAATGTGGTTGGTACTTTGTTTTTGTGTTGATTCAAGTATGTATGCCGGAAGACACTAGCCGACAATCGGCCTAGGATACGTGGCAGATTTGCACGCAACGATGAAGCTGCAGAGATTCCAAAAGTTGCAAACTTTGATCGATATCAAGACGAAGATGATCCTTGGGTAATCTCTTCTTTTCAGTCAAACCAATTATCATATAGTTTACTGAGAGTATTTAATATGAAACTCGTCGTGTAATATTCGAGATTGTGTTGTATTCGAGTCAAATTAAAATTAGATGATGGTGTCAAAATCAAATTATTTATCTTTAAAACTAACTCGGCCCCAATGATCTGCTTGTAATAGTAACAAATGATTTGAATTTGTTTTGCTAGATTGATGGGTTTAATGAAGATGAAGAAGGAATGGTGAGTGGAGGACCGTTGTACAACAGCTTTGTACCGACTCAGTTTCAGTACTATGGCTAGTCGTAATTGAAGGAAGCTGTTCTAAAGGAGGTTAAGTTCAAGCTGATCTGAGCAAAATAATTCAGATGGCTTCTTTGAATAAATTAGCTTAAAAGGTTAATTTTAACTATATATTCCGTCACTAGTTGTAGGCCAGCAGCAGTTGTTTTCATAACTTCCTCCACCACAAATGTAGTTATGTTGCCGTGTGCAATTCGTTCTTGGTTTTTCTATTTTGTCAATTTCTCTCTCTCTCTCTGTCACTACAAATCTATATATGGCATTGAATAANTACTTATATGCACATATATAGAAATATACGTACACGCACGAATACAGATGCTTTGCTTTTAAAGCTCAAATCTTTCTAATTAGATATTTAATCATAACCTTTGTGAACCTTAGCATCTTAAATAACACATATAATTGATCAACCTTTTTTTATAAATAATCAAATGACCCATTTTATCTAAATATAAAGCTCGTACTTTTTACACAGTTTTCGTCTACAATAGAGTTTGGAATTGGAAGAGAGAGAGATAAATAATAAATAACCATAATTCATTCTTGAAAAAGTTTAATTTCTGAAACTACTTTATCTTTATCTTAAAAGGTTCCAATATTTATAGATAGCAGAAACCCATAGTCTCCGTTCCCTAATTCCTTATTTAGATTGATGATTGCATTTTTTATTAAAAAAACTAGAGTATTCATCAGTAAGAGAACCCAGAAATACCCTGTTTCCTGATTAGACTGACCCCGTCTTTTCTTTCCTTTTTTCAAAAAAGTTATGCCCCTATACCAGTGGAAGAACCAGAAAGACCCCTAGTCCTTGCTTCATTGACACCTATGATCAAACACTTAATCTGCAATGCCAGCAAAACCCAAAAAGAAGACATGAGCTTCTCCTAAAAGCCACAAAAGGATGGCATTCAAAGACTGAATCTTGTCCATTCGAGCTCTTGCTTTTCTTGGTCCTGAATTCAATCATGTATGAACAGGTTTATGCCTTACAATTCCTGTTCTTGTTATATATAATAAATATAATGTGAGAGAGAGCATGCGTGTGAGAGACAATGAGAGAGACAGAACCAAAGTCGTAATGGAGAGAGCAGATTACTAAAAAGAATGGTTATTTAATCTGATTATCAGCACCTCAACTAACTATGATTCCAAAGCCTCGCTTTTTGACCATGACAGTAATGGAAGAAATTAATATTATAAACTGCTTCAATACCCTATCATTGCAGTGCTATAGATTAGGAGATTATTGGTCCATAAACTAAACTAAAAGATACCAGGGCAAAACTTTAGCTCACAGAGAAGGAAGTGAAGATGCAATCACTGGCAAATTATTTTCATCTTGATAATTCATGTCAGGTTTGTGTCGTATATCGTCATTATTTAGCGGGTTTGTGGCGTAACGATAAGGTTGTTCTATTGTAACCTGAAAATCACGGATTCGAGTCACAAAAATAATTTTTATGCTTGGAGAGAGATATAGTCTATAAAAATCTCATAATAACTGGAGTTTGGTGCAATGAATACGTTTTTTTTATATTATATCTATGTTATGGGTTTAACGGTTCCATCCATCCCTATAAAGATTAAATTCAACTACGCAAAAGTCATGTGGAGTTTGTGAGTTATTTCTTAATTTTGTGGAAGCTCAAAATGATGATTCGGGTTTACAACTCATCTCTTGTTGGANATAAAAAAAAAAAAAAATTGTTGATATGAGTACTTTGTTGGTTGGTGGGGGTTGAAAAATGAAAACTCTTTTACCGAAATCAACACAAGTATTCTACTTGAAAATAAAGTATGTATTACTAAGATTTTTAAATCTTTTTTTCTAGAAAGGCAATTCGAAACGCGAGACTCACAATAGTGTGTATTTTTCTCCTTTTCTATAGAGATTATTTTTATGGCTCGAACTTGTCAAGGTCCGGAATTACGGAGCTTGAGTATAATTGGCAAAGTTACACCTGTTAATTTCATTGTTAGTGCAGCAATAATCAATATGGCGTTTACATCGAGTACAGCATACATATTATGCTGCACTGAGGTGGCGCTATAATTAGGTTCTACACTGATCAAGTGTATGAGGGATTCCCTTGGTTGAACCATTTCAATCACTTAATTGGACAGCCTTTCCACCCAAATTAGGAAAATAAATTGACAATTCTTTCAGTAAATGGTGTAGAATATGGGACCTTTCATTTTATAATCAAAGATCAGTCAAGGGATTCCAAGCCTAGGACCTAGGAGATATATAGTTTATATATAATTATGTTTCAACCCTTTTTGGTGTGGTCAAATCCATGGTCTTATAATGATGATTTATCACAAATAGGCATGAATGGAGACTATTTGGGTGGGACTAAGTATACAGGAGCCATGGGCAATGTAATAGTTCTAATTTGTGATGAAAATTGCAGGAGATGATTTACACTAAGAGCATTTTAAAATGCGTTGTGCAATAAAGGTTCAAAATTCACATTTATATAACATGTCAAAAACACGTCGCCAAATAATGTGAGATTGATTGAACACAACAAAAATGAAAAAAGAAGAACCAGATTAAGAAGTTCGAAATAGGAAATAATCTCTTGGGACTTAAACTTGTTGAGTCTAAACAAGTGAGCTAGGCATTGAGTGTTGGTGGGTAACCTTTCCCACGGCATGAGTAAAAGCTCAAAAAACTCTCGTTTGAAATGTTATTTGAGAGAGAGAAGTAGTAGATAGTCTTCCAGTTTCGAANGGCATTGAGTGTTGGTGGGTAACCTTTCCCACGGCATGAGTAAAAGCTCAAAAAACTATCGTTTGAAGTGTTATTTGAGAGAGAGAAGTAGTAGATAGTCTTCCAGTTTGGAGATGTCGATTTTCAAACTCAAACACATGTATGTCACTTCCGAATGAGACACTATTCTAGATCAAACAATGAGAGTATTGCAATTGTTTTGCTTTCCAACTTTCAAAAGCAAGAAATCACCACTAAAAAAAATATATCAAAAACAAAAGCACAATCCCAAGATGCTTACCAATCAATGTCTGGACTATTATCATGTTATGCTTTTTTGATCACAAAATCAAGTAATGGGCTAAGTATGAGTTGATTTAGACTCAGACGTTCAAGCAATACACCTAAGGAACAAGCTCCAAATGTAGAAACAACACAACTTGTTAGCATTGGCCTCTGACCCATACATTGTTCAAATGAAAACCAAAAATCCCACCACTTCAAACTGAAAATAGAAATTACAAACATCTTAAAGATTTGGAACCAAAGTACCCCAACAGTAGAAATGGTACCACTTCACATTTTCTTTTAGTAATTAACAGTAAGAATGAAATTTTGGCACATACATATACGTACTTATATGCACATATATAGAAATATACGTACACGCACGAATACAGATGCTTTGCTTTTAAAGCTCAAATCTTTCTAATTAGATATTTAATCATAACCTTTGTGAACCTTAGCATCTTAAATAACACATATAATTGACCAACTTTTTTTTATAAATAATCAAATGACCCATTTTATCTAAATATAAAGCTCGTACTTTTNATCATTAAGACGGAACAACTTTAAAGAAGAAATATGTGGTCATTTGCATCTTGAATCTTTTCATCGTCCTCTGTCCCAAAAAGGTGGTAGCTATTCTTTAATGGGTGCTAAGTTGTGTCTAGTTGCGTTTAGATTACAAAACAATGTGCTTTTGTGAAAAGCTCGTAGTAGTTGGTTCATCCAAAGCAAGGCAAGGCCAGATACTCCTCATTGTCTCATTCATCTAGCATCTGNGTCACTTCCGAATGAGACACTATTCTAGATCAAACAATGAGAGTATTGCAATTGTTTTGCTTTCCAACTTTCAAAAGCAAGAAATCACCACTAAAAAAAATATATCAAAAACAAAAGCACAATCCCAAGATGCTTACCAATCAATGTCTGGACTATTATCATGTTATGCTTTTTTGATCACAAAATCAAGTAATGGGCTAAGTATGAGTTGATTTAGACTCAGACGTTCAAGCAATACACCTAAGGAACAAGCTCCAAATGTAGAAACAACACAACTTGTTAGCATTGGCCTCTGACCCATACATTGTTCAAATGAAAACCAAAAATCCCACCACTTCAAACTGAAAATAGAAATTACAAACATCTTAAAGATTTGGAACCAAAGTACCCCAACAGTAGAAATGGTACCACTTCACATTTTCTTTTAGTAATTAACAGTAAGAATGAAATTTTGGCACATACATATACGTACTTATATGCACATATATAGAAATATACGTACACGCACGAATACAGATGCTTTGCTTTTAAAGCTCAAATCTTTCTAATTAGATATTTAATCATAACCTTTGTGAACCTTAGCATCTTAAATAACACATATAATTGATCAACCTTTTTTTATAAATAATCAAATGACCCATTTTATCTAAATATAAAGCTCGTACTTTTTACACAGTTTTCGTCTACAATAGAGTTTGGAATTGGAAGAGAGAGAGATAAATAATAAATAACCATAATTCATTCTTGAAAAAGTTTAATTTCTGAAACTACTTTATCTTTATCTTAAAAGGTTCCAATATTTATAGATAGCAGAAACCCATAGTCTCCGTTCCCTAATTCCTTATTTAGATTGATGATTGCATTTTTTATTAAAAAAACTAGAGTATTCATCAGTAAGAGAACCCAGAAATACCCTGTTTCCTGATTAGACTGACCCCGTCTTTTCTTTCCTTTTTTCAAAAAAGTTATGCCCCTATACCAGTGGAAGAACCAGAAAGACCCCTAGTCCTTGCTTCATTGACACCTATGATCAAACACTTAATCTGCAATGCCAGCAAAACCCAAAAAGAAGACATGAGCTTCTCCTAAAAGCCACAAAAGGATGGCATTCAAAGACTGAATCTTGTCCATTCGAGCTCTTGCTTTTCTTGGTCCTGAATTCAATCATGTATGAACAGGTTTATGCCTTACAATTCCTGTTCTTGTTATATATAATAAATATAATGTGAGAGAGAGCATGCGTGTGAGAGACAATGAGAGAGACAGAACCAAAGTCGTAATGGAGAGAGCAGATTACTAAAAAGAATGGTTATTTAATCTGATTATCAGCACCTCAACTAACTATGATTCCAAAGCCTCGCTTTTTGACCATGACAGTAATGGA